ACACACACACACACACACACACACACACACACACACACACACACACACACACACACACACACACACACACACACACACACACACACACACACACACACACACACACACACACACACACACACACACACACACACACACACACACACACACACACACACACACACACACACACACACACACACACACACACACACACACACACACACACACACACACACACACACACACACACACACACACACACACACACACACACACACACACACACACACACACACACACACACACACACACACACACACACACACACACACACACACACACACACACACACACACACACACACACACACACACACACACACACACACACACACACACACACACACACACACACACACACACACACACACACACACACACACACACACACACACACACACACACACACACACACACACACACACACACACACACACACACACACACACACACACACACACACAACACACACACACACACACACACACACACACACACACACACACACACACACACACACACACACACACACACACACACACACACACACACACACACACACACACACACACACACACACACACATACACACACACACACACACACACACACACACACACACACACACACACACACACACACACACACACACACACACACACACACACACACACACACACATACACACACACACACATACACACACACACACACACACAAAAAAAATCCAAACCACACAAGACACAAATTTCTTGCACACGCTCACACCACGCATGCAACCCACAAACACAAGATGGGAGGCAGACAGACGCGAATGCATATGGTTGCATCACACAACAATCCCCAACACTCACCTTCCGCCACGTCACACCCACCTGCATCCACCACGTCATCCCCAACCCTCACCTTCCGCCACGTCACACCCTCCTACATCCGCCACGTCCACCAAACAGCCCCACGTGCCACATCACACCCTCCTGCATATGCCACGTCACACCCTCCTGCATCCGCCACATCCACCAACAACCAGCCCCATGTGCCACGTCACACCCTCCTGCATCCGCCACGTCACACCCTCTTGCATCCACCACGTCCACCAACAACCAGCCCCCCGTGCCACGTCACACCCTCCTGCATCCGCCACGTCACACCCTCCTGCATCTGCCACGTCCACCAAACAGCCACACGTGCCACGTCACACCCTCCTGCATCCGCCACGTCACACCCTCCTGCATCCGCCACGTCACACCCTCCTGCATCCGCCACGTCCACCAACAACCAGCCCCACGTGCCACGTCACACCCTCCCGCATCCGCCACGTCACACCCTCCTGCATCCGCCACGTCCACCAACAACCAGCCCCCCATGCCACGTCACACCTTCCCACCCCATGCCACGTCACCTCGCACCCACCTGATACGCATCGCTTTGTCACGCGTCGCTCCCGTGTACCATTCCAGACCGCCATGTCTGCCCCAACCCTCACATTTCAACACGTCACACCCTTTTGCATCCACCAACAACCCGCCCTACTTGCCATGTCACACCCCCACCAAGAGCCACGTCACCCCCCACCCACTTGAAACGCCTCGCAGCGTCATGCGCCGCACACGTGTACCCTTTTGAATAGCCATGTCATCCCCAACACTCACCTTCTGCCACGTCACACCCACCTGCATCCGCCACGTCATCCCCAACCCTCACCTTCCGCCACGTCACACCCTCCTGCATCCGCCACGTCCACCAAACAGCCCCACGTGCCACGTCACACCCTGTTGCATCCGCCACGTCACACCCTCCTGCATCCGCCATGTCCACCAACAACCAGCTCCACGTGCCACGTCACACCCTCCTGCATCCGCCACGTCACACCATACTGCATCCACCATGTCCACCAACAACCAGCCCCCCGTGCCACGTCACACTCTCCCACCCCATGCCACGACACCCCCCACCCACCTGACACGCGTCGCCTTGTCACGTGCCGCTCCCGTGTACCATTCCAAACCGCCATGTCTGCCCCAACCCTCACATTCCGCCACGTCACAGCCTTTTGCATCCGCCAACAACCCGCCCTACTTGCCACGTCACACCCCCACCAAGAGCCACGTCACCCCCCACCCACCTGAAACGCCTCGCTGCGTCATGCGCCGCACACGTCTACCCTTTTGAACAGCCACGTCATCCCCAACACTCACCTTCGGCCACCTCACACCCACCTGCATCCGCCACGTCATCCCCAACCCTCACCTTCCGCCACGTCGTACCCTCCTGCATCCACCACGTCCACCAAACAGCCCCACGTGCCACGTCACATCCTCCTGCATCGGCCATGTCACACCCCCCTGCATCCGCCACGTCCACCAACAACCAGCCCCACGTGCCACCTCACACCCTCCTGCATCCGCCACGTCCACCAACAACCAGCCCCACGTGCCACGTCACACCCTCCTGCATCCGCCACGTCACACCCTCATGCATCCGCCACGTCCACCAACAACCAGCCCCCCGTGCCATGTCACACCCTCCCACCCCATGCCACGACACCCCCCACCCACCTGACACGCGTCGCCTCGTCACGCGCCGTTCCCGTGTACCATTCCAAACCGCCATGTCTGCCCCAACCCTCACATTCCGCCACGTCACAGCCTTTTGCATCCGCCAACAACCCGCCCTACTTGCCTCGTCACACCCCCACCAAGAGCCACGTCACCCGCCACCCACCTGAGACGCCTCGCTGCGTCATGCGCCGCACACGTGTACCCTTTTGAACAGCCACGTCATCCCCAACACTCACCTTCCGCCACGTCACACCCACCTGCATCCGCCACATCACACCCACCTGCATCCGCCACGTCATCCCCAACTCTCACCTTCCGCCACGTCACACTCTCCTACATCCGCCACGTCCACCAAACAGCCCCACGTGCTACGTCACACCCTCCTGCATCCGCTACGTCACACCCTCCTGCATCCGCCACGTCCACCAACAACCAGCCCCACGTGCCACGTCACACCCTCCTGCATCCGCCACGTAACACCCTCATGCGTCCGCCACGTCACACCCTCTTGCATCCGCCACGTCCACCAACAACCCGCCCCCCGTGAAACGTCACACCCTCCCGCCCCATGCCACGTCACCCCCCACCCACCTGACATGCGTCGCCTTGTCACGCGCCGCTCCCGTGTACCATTCCAAACCGCCATGTCTGCCCCAACCCTCACATTCCGCCACGTCACACCCTTTTGCATCCGCCAACAACCCGCCCTAATTGCCACGTCACACCCCCACCAAGAGCCACGTCACCCCCCACCCACCTGAAACGCCTCGCTGCGTCATGCGCCGCACACGTGTACCCATTTGAACAGCCACGTCATCCCCAACACTCACCTTCCGCCACGTCACACCCACCTGCATCCGCCACGTCATCCCCAACCCTCACCTTCCGCCACGTCGCACCCTCCTGCATCCGCCACGTCCACCAAACAGCCCCACGTCCCACGTCACACCCTCCTGCATCCGCCATGTCACACCCTCCTGCATCCGCCACGTCCACCAACAACCAGCCCCACGTGCCACGTCACACCCTCCTGCATCCGCCACGTCACACCCTCCTGCATCCGCCACGTCCACCAACAACCAGCCCCACGTGCCACGTCACACCCTCCTGCATCCGCCACGTCCACCAACAACCAGCCCCACGTGCCATATCACACCCTCCTGCATCCGCCACGTCACACCCTCCTGCATCCGCCACGTCCACCGACAACCAGCCCCACGTGCCACGTCACACCCTCCTGCATCCGCCACGTCACACCCTCCTGCATCCGCCACGTCCACCAACAACCAGCCCCACGTACCACGTCACACCCTCCTGCATCCGCCTCGTCACACCCTCTTGCATCCGCCACGTCCACTAACAACCAGCCCCTTGTGCCATGTCACACCCTCCCACCCCATGCCCCGTCATCCCCCACCCACCTTACACGCTTCGCCTTGTCACCCTCCGCTCCCGTGTACCATTCCAAACCGCCATGTCTGCCCCAACCCTAACATTTCGCCACGTCACACCCTTTTGCATCCGCCAACAACCCGCCCTACTTGCCACGTCACACCCCCACCAAGAGCCACGTCACCCCCCACCCACCTTAAACGCCTCGTTGCGTCATGCTTCGCACACGTGTACCCTTTTGAACAGACACGTCATCCCCAACACTCACCTTCCGCCACGTCACACCCACCTGCATCCGCCACGTCATCCCCAACCCTCACCTTTCGCCACGTCACACCCTCCTGCATCCGCCACGTCCACCAAACAACCCCACGTGCCACGTCACACCCTCCTGCATCCGCCACGTCACACCCTCCTGCATCGGCTACGTCCACCAACAACCAGCCCCAAGTGCCACGTCACACCCTCCTGCATCCGCCACGTCACACCCTCCTGCATCCGCCACGTCCACCAACAACCAGTCCCCCGTGCCACGTCACACCCTCCCACCCCATGCCACGTCACCCCCCACCCACCTGACACGCGTCGCCTTGTCACGCGCCGCTCCCGTGTACCATTCCAAACCGCCATGTCTGCCCCAACCCTCACATTCGTGCCACATCACACCCTTTTTCATCCGCTAACAACCCGCCCTACTTGCCACATCACACCCCCTTCCAAGAGCCACGTCACCCCCCACCCACCTGAAACGCCTCGCCCCGTCATGCGGCACTCCCTTGCACCCTTTCACACCGCCACGTCATATTTCAAATCTCACTTTTTGCCACTTCACACCCACTTGCATCCGCCACGTCCACCAACAACCCGCGCCACTTGCCACGTCACACCCACCCACCCCATGCCACGTCACCCCCCACCCACCTAATACGCGTTGCCTCGTCACGTGCCGCTCAGATGGAGCCTTCGAAACCGCCACGTCAGCCCCAACTCTGCCCTGGTTGCCACGTCAACCCCAACCCGCCCCAATTGGCGCGCCACATACTGGGAATGGCTTTGTCTCGTGCAACACTAGCACTCGTGCCTTGTCCACGGCGCTCATCGGCGGCGGGGTACCAGCCATAGGCAGAGCTGCCGACCCGCCGGCATAGCTGGCAGGTACTCCACGACGCAGGCCGAGCTGTGCAAACATGGCGTACATCTCAGACCGCAGCGCCTGGAACTCCTCCCGTGTAACAAACTGCTCGTGCTCCGCACTTTCACCTAGGGCACCCATGAGCAGAGGAAAAGGGTGTGAAGAATCCCCCATCCGGCCAAGGGGATCAGCATCTTCTGCAGCATCCCTGTGTGCCCTCACACTATCACGCTGGTGGGAAAAGGGGAGCTCAGGGAAGGGATTGGTATAAGTGCTTGCCTGATGCCCGCGCGATGGACCGACGAGGGGGGAGACCGCCCTGCCCTGGACAGGAGAAGCATGTAGCGACCGAAATGGGTACGAGGGTGAGGCGAGTGGGGTTTGCGTGACGGGGGCTGGTGGAGGGGATTCGGATTCCTCTCCTCTTGGCGCGCCGGGTGCCGTGGCAGCGAATTTGCTCGGGCCGGTGTATGGCGTGTAGAACCTTGGTGCTCCTGTGGCTAGCGGTGGAACACTCGCTCTTCCGGCAGCCTTCGTTAGCTGCATCCGTTGCACGCTTACGGGTGGCCCAATGCCTGTAACGCGAGGGGCTGAGATGTAGAGGGAGTAGGATAAAGAAATTAGAGTCAATCGGTTTCAATATAGGGCCAGACATGCATGTATAACATCAAAGGTTTGAATCTAAATCGGGTTTGAAGCAAGAGGGTTTACCTTGCTTGGTAGATTCGTCGACCCTTTCCTTCCCTGCAGGAGAGAAACAATGGGGAAAAATGGTGTTATTTGGCACGGTTGACCAGATGGTTCAACAACCACGCCACTTGTATTGGCCACAACGCTCACCTTTCTGCTGTCTCTTCGGTTTTAGGGCAGCCTGCGCCTTCTCGTTGCCACCTTTCCACGGGGTGTTTTGGCGGACGCTGCGACGTTTACCGGTAGGTTCTTTCTTGCCGGTACCCACTGGAACCCCTTTGCCGCGGCCACCCTTTCCTCCTCCATCCCCTTTTGCTCCCTGGCTCCCTTGCTTTTTACCACCCCCTTCACTTTCGACCTTCACCTTACGCGCCTTCTGTTTGCCCGCTGCTTCGCTGCGCGCGGCGTCAACTGCCCCGCGTTTTCGGGAAGGGCGAGTCCGACCCCCCACCTTCCCTGTACCACTCACCCGTCTGCCACGCCCGCCCCGTCCCTTCACTGGCCCCACATCCTCCTCCTCCTCCTCCTCCTCATCCTCCTCCTCGTCGTCACCCTGTTCCTCCTCCTCCTCCTCCTCCTCCTCCTCATCCTCCTCCTCTTCCTCCTCCTCCTCCTCCTCCTCCTCCTCCTCCTCCTCCTCCTCCTCCTCCTCCTCCTCCTCCTCCTCATCCTCCTCTTCGTCCTCCCCGCCATCATTCTCATATTTTTCATCCTCCCTAACATCCGCGTCATCCTCCTCCGCATCCTCTTCATCCTCCTCTTCCTCCGCATCCTCCCCCTCATCCTCCTCCTCCTCCGCATCACCAGGGTGTTCATCGCCCCGTTTCTGCCTCGTCCCCGCCACTGCTTTCTTGCCTCTCCTTCCGCTGGATGTTTTTCTTGCTGCGGGTCGGCCCTTCTGGCACAATGCTTGACCGCCCGCCTTGCCACTAGCTTCCTTGGCGCCTTGCGTTGTCCCAACTTCCGCGCCTCCGGCGTCGTCAGCACTGCCTGTCCTCTGCCGCCTCTTCGCCGCGTGGTGAGGTCCCTGGGCACGGCGGTGTCATAATCATCCTCCCCATCGCTCCTCCTCTGCCTACACCTCCCCCGTCCACCAGAAGGAGGAGAGCCACCGACCTGCCCCTCCGACTTGTGCTCCCCCACCTTGTCCTTATCCAGCACGGCTGCAGAAACTTCGACCATGGTCAGCTGGAGCAGCGTCAGATGGTGTTGCGATGCCGCCGCCTCGGACTCCTTGGTTGCGGCATGCTCGGCGCGGGGATCGCCTCCGTGGTTTCCCCCTGTCGCCGATCCCTCGATCTCCGCCGACGGGACTGCAAGACTTGCGCTCCCTCGCCCCGTATCTTTGTTGCCGCCAGTGGTGCCGTCGTTACTCGGATTGGGCTCGGTTCCAGCAGAGGCAACATCCGCTTCTTTGCGCACTGTAGAAACACGCTTGCGTGGCTTTGGTTTAGGCCCCTTGTCTTCTGCTTTCTTGCCGGACTCCTCTTGACCGCGCTCGACCTTTTTTGGCGCCGATTTTTTCTGCCCAATGCCTGGCGCGACGGACGCATTTGTGAAGAATATAAGGTAAGTTGAAGGGAAGGGCCTAGGCTTAGTAGCCTAGGCCCGAACTTAGGTGTCGAGTAGGTTTTACCCTAGGCGAGGTATCGAGTGAGTTGAAGAGAAAGTTGGGGAATGATGGTTTCACTATAGGGTTCGAAGTACATATAGCATAGGAACCAAATAAGGTGCACCACCAACAATAGTTTAAATAACTACACTAACTACAACTACAAGTAGTTATAAAACATGACAAATAAATTTCGACACGCCCCCATAATGCTTGTAGGTAGATATGTAGTTACGCCATTCAAAAGAATAGCAAGCAACAGCAGGTACCCCTTCCATCTCCTCACCCTCCTCCTTCCCCTCCCCCACACTGCTGCAAGAGCAGCAGAGAAGGAGGGAAAGTGAGGGGTGGTGGAGGGACGGCTGCATGTTGCCTCACACCCGCCACCCCGGTACCACTCCCCCTGCTCCCCCACATCCTCACACCCTCCCCCCCCAGCGGCAGCTGCAGCGGTGGGACTGAAAGAAGGAGGAGGGGAAGGGAGAGAGGTGACCCAACACTCCAACACCCTCCACCCCCATACCCTCCTCCCCACGGCTGCAGGGAGACAAAGGAGGAGGGGGTGGGCGGGAAGAAAGCCGCAGAGCGGAGAAAAGGTGTCGGTGCAGATGGGCCAGGGGCGGCTTCAGGGAGAGCAGGGGCGGAAAGGCCCGTCGCGTGCTAGTGCCACGGGGCGCACGACGGGTAGAAGAAGAGAAAGGGCCCGATCGTGCGCCTAGGGGCGCACGACGAGCAGGGCACCATCGTGTGCCACGGGGCGCACGATGGGCAGTTGAAGGGCACCGTCGCGTGCCACGGGGCGCGCGACGGGCAGAGTAGGAGTCACACACCCGTGGGCGGGACAAGGTAAAAATCGTCACGCGCCCTAGGCACGCGACCGAAAAATCATAGCGGAAGCGTAGGGCGGGCCCACAGGCCAGGACGTAATTAGCTCTGATAACATGTGAAGAATATAAGGTAAGTTGAAGGGAAGGGCCTAGGCTTAGTAGCCTAGGCCCGAACTTAGGTGTCGAGTAGGTTTTACCCTAGGCGAGGTATCGAGTGAGTTGAAGAGAAAGTTGGGGAATGATGGTTTCACTATAGGGTTCGAAGTACATATAGCATAGGAACCAAATAAGGTGCACCACCAACAACAGTTTAAATAACTACACTAACTACAACTACAAGCAGTTATTAAACATGACAAATAAATTTCGACAGCATTAGTTTTTTTTGCGCCGCCACCGCTCTCCCTATCTATCTGTTGAGACGTCCTCCTTGTCGCGCGGCGGCTGGCCTGTTCCTCCACCATTGCTTGGTTACGTGTTGCACGAGTCATGGTCGTTGTAGGAAAGCAAATTAGCACATCGCGCGGAAGGGTTGTGCCTGTTTTGAAGGGGTACTGCAACGGAATCCCACGATGGGATTATCGACGGTCGATCACTATAATCTGTATCCGAAAACTGCTGCTTCATCTAAAACTGAACTAGTAGCCACTAAGTAGAGAGCTATGGCCGCGACGGAGAGGCGTGTGTCAAACATCGAGCAGCGTCCAAGTGTTGGACCAGGGAGTGACGGAAGCAGGTGGGTGGGGCACGAGGGTGGTTGGGGTGGATTGCGAGACTAGAGAGATTACTGTAACACTATCAGGCTATATCGGACGGTGTACGCGTAGCCACCCTAGCATAAACCCACCTACCGCTCGATCTCAGCCGCTCATTGGCTGAAGTACCTCTTGGCTGATGATTGTGTTGCGGGCCAACTCGTTTGAGATGCGTCGGCCAATCACGGTTGCCAACGCATCAATCACTACAAAGGGTACAACGGTTGTGAAACGCCAAGTGCAAAATCAGTAGAATCCCTGCAAAGTACAGTGTTGTCGCGAACGCACAGTGTTGCACATAGCAACTAAATCAAATTCAAACATACAACAATAGATTTCATCGAACACTTAGTTGCAAATGGTTTAGTATGGGGCTGGGGTAAGTTAATCGGTGATTCTCGCATCACAATGATGTACTGCGCACTTTTTGGCTTTGCCACATCGGTTTATTTATAGCGGACGACATTCTAACACGATGATCAATAGTAACGAGAATCATTTGTGGTATGGTGATGGATTATCATCTATTCTTGCACGGACATTGAACAAGGTGCTTAGAGGGAGTGGTATGAAGCACAGGCCCTACGCACAAGCGGTGATGCGTTATCGACAGCCATGTTTAGACTGTGCGACGATGCAGCGTTTAGGCTTGCTGGGGTTGCGCGACATGGTGAATCCGTTTGCGTATGGTGATGGATCGTCATCCATTCTTGCACGGACATTCAACAAGGTGCTTAGAGGGAGTGGTATGAAGCACAGGCCCTACGCATAAGCGGTGATGCGTTATCGACAGCCATGTTTAGACTGTGCGACGATGCAGCGTTTAGGCCTGCTGGGGCTGTGCGACATGGTGAATCCATTTGCGTATGGTGATGGATCGTCATCCATTCTCGCACGGACATTCAACAAGGTGCTTAGAGGGAGTGGTATAAAGCACAGGCCCTACGCACAAGCGGTGATGCGTTATCGACAGCCATGTTTAGACTGTGCGACGATGCAGCGTTGAGGCCTGCTGGGGTTGTGCGACATGGTGAATCCGTTTGCGTATGGTGATGGATCGTCATCCATTCTTGCACGCACATTCAACAAGGTGCTTAGAGGGAGTGGTATGAAGCACACCGTTAGAAACAACACCATTCCACAACCGTTAGGGAGTGGTAGCAGACCACACTAACGGTGTTGTTTCTAAGCACTGTCGTTGTCAATATGCCGAAAGGTATTGAGCATGCCGTAAAGTATGGTCGTATAATCGTTATGAGTGACATTAAGTAATTTGTTATATCTAACTGTACAATGGTATTACCTGGTTTGGATAAAGGCTATGGGGGTACGCACCACTTTGGGCACACCTACGTGATCGCAATCTCCCCCCTATAGAGACTCTCGAAAGATCTCTTCCCTCTCTTCTTCTCCCACCTCGACTCTCACACACGATTCAAAAACCGAAGTTTTGAATATGGAGGCACGTACTCCTCACCGTGCTCGTCACGCACGCTTGCGACCAAGCTAGCCGTACACCACTGCATAAGGCCCTGCTCACGTCGTAATCACTCTAACAGGGGGCGACACGCCTTGTAGAGAAGGCCTATGTCGTGCTGTCAGCGGTCTGTATCTAGGCTTGTCATGGCCACGCTGCGCGACCATTGTTAGCCAGTCTCTCACTAATGCGCCACGATCAAGTGCCAAGCGTGCAGAGATCCAAGCCGCCGTGGACACTTCGCGCTGTGGCGATGACCGTGCTGGAGTCTGAGCCTTCATTGACTGTGAAGTAAAAGCGTTTACAAGCTTCAAACTGGCTAGTCTCCTCACACTACATTCCACCACTCTTAGACGGATCCAGAATACATGGGCTCTTTGCGAGGCGTAGTATGCGAGTTCTACAACAGATGGTTCCCCAACGCCCAGGTTTATGGCGGCCATAAGTCACGGCGGACCCCTTGTCAAGGGCTTTCCGCCGTGGTAAGGCCCTCCTCGTCTGCACCGTCCGCCGGTCTACACGCTCTGCTGTTCGTCCATGACATTCTGTCAGACGCTCCCGCTGCACCCACTTCCCCTACCGCGTCTAACGCGTCCAACACCGACGGTGTGAATGGTCCTCTTCGGGTGCCCGAAGCTGACGGGGATGCAACACCCTCGGCTGTGAACGTGGGGGCTCCTGAAAGTGAGCATCAACCGCCTCCCGGAACACATGCCTCTGACACGAGTGAGCATCCGAAGAGCCGCCGTGAAGAGAGTTACGCCGCACCGCCGACAGGCATCTCTGGACAGAGCAATGCCACGCCCCTCAATCTGCTTGCGTTGAAGCTACTGCATTTCGTGCGGCGCGTAAATGGCGGAATGGAAATGGCGGAGATCGACATCAATGGCCTGCTTCAGCTCATGGTGGAGCCCGGCCTTGCGCCTCTTGTGATCTCAGAGATCCGGAACAGCAAGGATTTGGAGCGGTTCAAGATGGAGCGCTTGGTCGGGCTCAATCGCGGATGGTCAGTGGCGACCTTCGAGATTGACGGTCATCCGCCACAACGCCTTCTCTTCCAGAACTCTGCGCAGGTAAGTTGAATCTAAATCCGTGGCTGTGAAATGCAGATTCCGCATCTATTTGGTGCTTGTTGAACGCTGCCTCTGTTAGGCTTGTGTGAGATCTGCCCCACCTTCAACGCCACTAACCAGGGTTTGGTTCTCTCCTGCTCTTGCCACTGTATGCCAGGCGTTTGCCAAACTATTTGGGCATACCAACAACGCGCCCGGCTTCAAGCTCAAGGCTCGTGTCAATGAGGACCCTGACACAGGCGAGCGTCGCTATACCACGCCAGAAACTGGAACGTGGTGGAACGATGCTCAGGTATGGAAATACCCCGTTGCCACCCAAAACCAGAAGGGTGCGCATGCCTCCGTTGATGCGCTGATGTGTAGGGAGCATCTTCAGTGTGTCATGTTTGTGGGGAGTTCTTTGAAGCATGCTTAGTCCGCCTGGCGACAAGAGGCCTT